AATTTATTTGTAATTTTTTTGGGGGGTAGATCGCATTTTTTTATTTATAATCTTTGAGACATTAAAATTAATTATTTTTATTCACATTTCTCTAATATTAATATAATTAAAAGTATGTATTATTTGTATATACAGTGTAAACTCTATATAACGACACTGAAGGGACCGTGCATTTTAGTGCGTTATAGAGAGTTGCCGTTAAATAGAAAGAAGAAAAATCAGAATTAGAAAAAGACAAAGTTTGTTTCAGACTACTTATGTACATAAAAGAGAATGTTATAAAGTCTGTTGTTTTTGTTTGACGTGTTTTGCTGCACCAGTAATGTTGTTGTATTTTTTACGAATTTTATTCATAATTTGCGATATTGAGGCATATTGGTGAAGAACTAATTTCTTAGAAAGTTTGGTATGCATGATTACGACAGTGGAGTTTATTGCGGGCTAGGATAACAAAGCGACAAAAAAACGTACACAGCTGCGCATTTTTCACTAATTTTAGCAACTTAAAGGGTACTTTTTATTACTTAATTTTGTCGTTATTGAGAGTGGCTGCGATGCTATATAGAATGTATCATTGTATGGTAGACAAGCTAAACCAACCAAAGTCAAATGATTTCGACGCTTTAGAGAGTTTGTCGTTAAATCGAGTGTCGTTATATGGAGTTTACACTGTATATGTATTATATTTTTATTGCCTATGAGATTTACTTGTTATCAGTTTTTCCACATATATATGTTTGCTTCAATCTTCACGTGATGACATTATATGCTTTGCTTACACAGTCACAAATACGCAACATGTATACAGTTTTAATATTTACCCTCTGAGATAATAATTATACTTAAATACAGTAAAAAACATGCATACATATGACTTATTAATAATATATCCGTTGAAAAATTGTTCAGTTTTTTTTCGTATATATGAATAAAAAAACAGATATTTTATTATATGTATGTACATATAATAAATATATAATTATTTATCCCTACTAATATTATAAATGCGAAAGTAACTTTGTCTGTCTGTCTGTTACGCTTTCACGTCTAGACCACTGAACTGATTTTAATGAAATTTGGTACAGAGATAAAGTTGACCTTGAGAAAGAACATAGGATAGTTTTTATCCCAGACTTTTGAAAGGTTCTCTTGGAAACGCGATATAACCGAACTCCATGCGGGCGAAGCTGCGGGCGGAAAGCTAGTATTATATAAAATTGGTTGTGACTCCAGGTAAAGTTCGTAAATCATATCCCATATGTTACTCCAATGTATGATCTACATTATTGTAAAGTTTCACTAAAATCAGTTTAGTAATTTTTGCATGATAGTTTAACATACATCGACCAAGCCATTCGAAGTAGTCGTTAACAGATTCATTACGCTTGTATTAACGAGAAATCCCCAACATTGCGACGTAATTATATTTACTTCCTAAAGAGGAAAACTAATAATAAAACTATTAAGAGATAAATATTCAAAGTATTCGTAATAATATTATGATACGTGTTACGTACGCACATGTCAAAAATTAAATGAACATCGCCGGGGCAACATCGTTGTATGTATAAAATATACAGGGTGACTGGTGAATTATTATCGATACTTGGGGACGTGACATTTGACGATCATATATGACAAAATAAAAATTAATATAACATAAATATTAATGAACTTCTAAGTAAAGTAAGCCAAAAGTTATGTAATTAATTACGCATCGTGTGAACACCCTACAGATTAGGTATACACACACACACAATCTCGCGCGCAGCGGCGTGGTGTTGTATCAGCACGCCGCCGCACGCGTCCACACTTGGAACACTTGGAACGTGTCCGCACTTTATTTATTTATACGGAAATTTGGTCAAAAATTAAGTACCTATTTTTTTATATAATTCGAATGAGAATCATGTACCGAGTACTCTCTTCAAATATTGATAGTAATTCACCAGTCACCCTGTATAACGAGTGACGCCGCTGACTCCGCGGAACGAACACCAAGCCGTGTGAACCAGAAGTTTCCTGATACACACAAGCTATGGAATGGTATTGCTATCATAACATCGGGTCAATCATGTAGTCTTAAGTGTAGGTTATAAGTTTTAATATGTAATTCTTACTATAATATACATATGAGTAATTTTCTGTTTTCCTGGAACCTCTGGTTGCTAGCCTACAGAATTTACGTTTTACTTTACTAAAACATATAAGTATCAAATTCTTCAAGTCTTCAAGAAGTATTTTCAGTTTAATAGTAATAAATAGAACTTATGTATATGAGTAATATCTTTACTCTAACGCTCGTTACTCGTTCATAATTTATTATTTCAACTTCAGTAATGGAATAGAAATGCTAATATATTGGACATTTAGTGACGACACACATTGTATATATAAACTAGCTTTTGCCGCGACTTCGTCTGCGTGGAATAGTGACTTCCGGCAGATTTTTGGTTCTTCCCACATACATAGTTCCCTTTCTTACGGGGTTTTCGGAATGGTCGAGTTCCCGTAGAATTTTCAGGATGAAACCTATGTTTTTTTTATTCACAATGAAGTACTCTTAACTAACAACATATTTATTTGTTTATTTGAATAAAGATTAATATTATTATGTTAATACAACTTAAACAAATTGTTTCGACCAAATTTAGGTACCATAAAAACGGTTTTTGTGAGTTAATCTTAAAAGATAGACATATACTGTCGCGGACTGTTTTTTAGATCATTAAAAGAGCTATGATTCTTTAATAGGTACATATTTTTTGTGTATCTTGAACCGTTTTCACGGCGCACGCAACGGAAGGCTTCAAAGATGAAATAATTTCTCCCGTTTTTTACACATTTACCACTATATCTTTGCTCCTATTGGTCGTAGCGTAATGTTATATAGCCTACAGCCTTCCTCGATAACTGGACTATCCAACACAAAAAGAATTATTCAATTTGAACCAGTAGTTTTGGAGATTAGCGCTTTCAAACAAACAAACAAACAAACTCTTCAGCTTTATAATATTAGTATAGATTGTGTGTGTGTGTGATCAATATTTAATTTCGAAAATTTTGTGTGTAACCTAATAAAATATACAAGATATTTATGTATAATCAATATTTTATTTATACATATAGCAGTTCGATCTATTTTTACATTGTGAGTCAATAAAGGTTAAATTTTACACCTCTTTAGCTGATTTAAATTTAATATTAGGTATATTGTTTTAAAGACGAAATTGTTTGAAAGGTGACGTCACAAGTTTGTTGGTTAATCTTTCAAACGAAAATTACTGGATTGATTTTGATGAAACTTTTTCAATTACGTAGTGTATGTATCGGAGTATAGTTTGTTTGTTTCTTCGTCGATATTTTATATCTTTGATGACTTAAAATTAAACATGTATAAATGTTTTCATATCTCCAAAACTAATTGTTTAGTTTCTATCTCTATAACATATACTAGCTTTCCACCCGCAGCTTCGCCCGCGTGGAGTTCGGTTATATTGCGTTTCGAAGAGAACCTTTCAACAGTCTGGGATAAAAACTATCCTGTTCTTTCTCACGGTCAACTCTATCTCTGTACCAAATTTCATTAAAATCAGTTCAGTGGTTTAGGCGTGAAAGCGTAACAGACAGACAGACAGAGATACTTTAGCATTTATAATATTAGTAGGCATATATTCTACTATTATATATATACTACTGCTACTTATGTTAAGAATTCAATTAACGTGTGCATCGAATGATTAATTCTTATCAGTGACTCGCCACGTGTTTCATCTTCGTTCAGGCCTCGGCCTCGAATTTTGCGGGCAGCGGAGCGGCAGCGGCGGCGGCACGGAAACGCATACATTTCTCCGAAATAGCGGGCAGCGGGCACCGCTGTATTCGAGGGTCGGTCCATTTGATTATACGCGTAAGATCCTGCCGCTCCCGCTGCCGCTCCGCTGCCCGCAAAATTCGAGGCCGAGGCCTCAGGGTTTACTTATCCGTTTATCCGTGGAAAATGTTTACGCTTAGTCCGAGTTTGAATACATAATACGAAATACGCGACGTTAATAGTATTTCGTAAATGAATCTCTTCTTATTGTATTAATAGGTTATTTAATAGTTATGTTATATTAAATTTAAACAAAGATTTTTTTTATAAATTTACTTTCTTTGAATTACGTGAATTTTATGGTAAATATATTATTTTTTCTTATGTTTTTTTGTACGTTTATTATGTATATAAATATTTGTTTAAAAATCACTTCTTATGCTGATGGTGCAAGAAGTGTATCAAAATTTAAAATTATTTAAGTCATTCAATGTGAAAATATAAAATATTATATATCAATAATTATTATATATTATTTTTTTATTAGCAATTAATTTAATGTAGCACTTAACAGACTTAACTAAATAATGCTTCTTAAGTGGAAGCCATAATAATATGGAGAGGGTTAGTTAATGTGTTTGTATAAGCTTGGATTTATACTAATATAATTATATGTATGTAATTATATATATAGTAGATCTAGTTCATTATATCTGTGTGTTGTTAAATAGGTTTTAATTTCATCTATATCTAGATATAGATGAAATAGCTTTTGGGAATTATAGCTAATGTGCCTAGATCTATTTTCGTCTAGATATAGTTATAGTAAATACTAGTATGCTAGATTGAATGTTTTCTAAAAACTAGTTAGACTGAAAGTTAGTGTATTTCTAGACTAGTCCCTGAAATATTAATTTATTTGATTATAATTAACCAATATTTTCGGATTTACTAAGTTATTTTTATTATTTTAAACTACATACTCCCGACGTTTCGGGTACTTTGCAGCAATCGTGGTCACAGAGACTTAATCAAAATGTCTTTAACAAAAAAACGCATAGCACATCCAAAAATATAAGTTTTATTTCAAAGAATACTCGTGAAAGTCATCTTCAAACGAAACTATAGTTTCACAAACAAATATAACCCTTATTATAACTATTAAAGTTCAATTTCTCGCTTCCAGGTCGTCGAATGCCATGAAAAGCGTACGGGTGTTAAAAGAGCCTTAAAAGTTCTTCACGATAGCACGAAAGCCAGGAGAGAAGTTGAACTGCATTGGCGAGCAAGTGGCTGCATACATATAGTCGAGGTAAGGAAACGCCAGATAAAAATATATAGCAATTCCTTATAAACGAAATTTTCCGCCGGCAGCTTCGCCCGCGTGGAATTCGGTTATATCGCGTTTCCAAGAGAACCTTTCAAAAGTCTGGGATAAAAACTATGCTGTGTTCTTTCTCAAGGTAAACTCTGTCTCTGTACTAAATTTCATTAAAATCAGTTCAGTGGTTTAGGCGTGAAAGCGTACCAGACAGACAGAGTTACTTTCGCATTTATAATATTATTAGGGATTTTTATATATAGATTTGGTCAGAATTTTAATTCAGATTCCTATTAACTATATGTATATATCGCCAACCCGTCTTGAGCAAGCGTGGTGATTAATTCTCTAACCTTCTCCATGTGAAAAGAGGCTCAGTAGCGGGTTCTGATAGGCTGATGATGATATACAAAGCTTATATAATAATACAATTTTCTATATATTGGTATATTTTACATAATTTTCATAAATTATATATATATAAAGCTTATATAATAATACAATTTTCTATATATTGGTATATTTTACATAATTTTCATAAATTATATATATATAAAGCTTATATAATAATACAATTTTCTATATATTGGTATATTTTACATAATTTTCTTAAATTATTTCTGTTTTCACAAAGGAAACAATTTACTGTAATAGTTGTTTGAATATAAGTATTTTGTTACCGTGGGTTTGAGACTATGAATGTCCTATTGTTAATTTATTTCTCATAGTTCAATCAAGATATTTTGCAATATTAACTTTCATACAAATAACTGTATAATAATTTATCATTAATTTTATATCAAAAATTATACATCGTCGTCATCAGCCTATTAGAACCCACTGCTAAGCAAAGGCCTCTTTCTCACATGTAGAAGGTTTGAGCATTAATCACCACGCTTGCTCAAGACGGGTTGGTGATTTCAAACTTATAATTGTGAAACTATAAGTCCAGGTTTTCTCACGATGTTTTTCCTTCACCGTTTGTCAGTGGTGTCTAAATACTTTCAGAAAGTACATATGACTCCGAAAAATTACATTGGTACTTGCCAGGTTTGAACCCGCGCCCTCGGCAACGAGAGGCGGACCCTTTAACCACTAGGCCACCACTGACATAGAAATTATACATAGTAATAGTTATTTATAGACTATGAAATGTAATGGAATAAAAGTCTTGGTTAGAAGAAATGTAGAATTTTCTTTACGTATGCAAAAACAGAAATACATTCACACATTTATCCCTACTAATGTTATAAATGCGAAAGTAACTCTGTCTGTCTGTCTGGTACGCTTTCACGCCTAAACCACTGAACTGGTTTTAATGAAATTTGGTACAGAGATAGAGTTGACCATGAGAAAGAACATAGGATAGTTTTAATCTCAGACTTTTGAAAGGTTCTCTTGGAAACGCGAAGTTGCGGGCGAAAAGCTAGTTATATGTAAAAGAAAGACGTGTTAGTTACACTATTTATAACTCAAGAACGGTTGTACTGATTTGGCTGAAATTTAGTAGGGAAGTAGTTTAGACCCAGGAAATGGACAGAGGACTCTTATAAAAAAAATGACTTAATACAATTCAAAATGAGCTTATTTTCTGCTTCTAAAGCGAAAGAGTACTTTCGTACGGCCATACATTTCTAATTCTAAAACTTACTCAGGCGAAGTCGCTTGCAAAAGCTAGTTATACATAAATATAACAACACCGTTTTATATATCACTGTTGATGATCCTCTAACGAAATTTATATAAAAAAATAGATATATAATAATAAATTTACGTATGTACAATAATTATTATTAATTTAAATGAAACTTACATTTTCGAATTACTACGCTTTATTTATTATTATAAACTACATACTCCCGATATTTCTGTTACTTTGCAGATGTTTTAATTATAAAATGACACGTAATAATATGAAATATTAGTTTCATTTAAATGAATATTCGGTAAAATCTATCATAATGATATCATTAACAATTATTCTTGTTTAATGTTTTTTAGATAATAGACGTGTATGATAACACGTATGGCGGTAAGAGATGTCTTCTGGTTGTGATGGAGTGTATGGACGGTGGGGAGCTGTTCCAGAGGATCCAGGATAATAGAGAAGGAGCCTTCACGGAGAGACAGGCTGCTGAGGTGAGTTATAGTGAGTTACGATGAGTTAGGGTGAGTTACAATGAGTTATAGTGAGTTACTATGAGTTATAGTGAGTTATAGTGAAAAAGTCAGTGTTGGTTAGAGGGCCCGCCTCCCGTTGCTGAGGGCGCGGGTTCGATCCTGGCCCGGGCAAGTACCAATGTGATTTTTCCGAGTCATATGTACTTTCTAAGAATATTTAGACATCACTGATAAATGCATTCCCAAAAAGAGGGTTGAAGTCAGGCAGGCGGCCGGTCGTAAAAAACAATTATCCAAAACTATTCACAACATGTTAAGGCAGACCCTGGCTATAGGTGGGAAATTGCCAGGTAGATATATAAGATAGTGAGTTATAATCAGCTATGCGGCATGTTAGTTATGAATTATTTACTCAAAAAGTGTTTTCAAAAAAAAGATAATTAATTTGATATTTATGTTAAAAATAATTGGTTGCTTTTCATTATTAAACATATAAAAAAATACTTCTTAGGTTTAATACTGTGTTAATAAGAATTTGTAAGGAGAATATATGGTTAATTAAAAACATTTTATTTCAGATAATGCATTCGATATGCGTAGCTGTGAGACATTTGCATGATTCGAACATAGCTCATAGGGATATAAAACCGGAGAATCTTTTGTATACAAGCATGGAACCGAACGCGGTTCTAAAATTAACCGACTTCGGTTTCGCCAAAGAGACTTTGAACCATGCTGACACATTGCAAACACCGTGCTACACACCATACTATGTTGCACCCGAGGTATGAATATTAATAACTACTTAAATAATCTTTAAATAAAAATCTTATTATTCTCTATAAAATATATAATTTTCTATATATATCTAATATATAAAATATCCATATTACAATGTTAGTTACCATACTCCAAAATGACTACAGATTTTTTGTCAAACTTTATATTTATTCAGTAGGTCTGGAAATTTGCTACTATTTATTTTTTATACCCCTGAATTATAATTGTTCACCCTTAATTTTTGCAAATTTTTGGACGATTTTTTTTAATATGGCATTGAAAATACATTCAATCTTAAATTTTAATTTTTTTATCACCAATCCCTATTTTTTATATATGGCAGAACAATGCTTGAAATGTCAGTTAATTATAAATAAAATGTATATATTTATATTAATTAATTTATTAATAGTTGTCCATTTTATTTCAAGGTGCTGGGTCCAGAAAAGTATGATAAGTCATGTGATATATGGTCTCTGGGCGTTGTGATGTACATTCTATTGTGTGGTTTCCCACCATTCTATTCAAATCACGGTTTGGCTATATCACCAGGCATGAAAAAGGTATGTATGATAAAAATAACCAAATATATCTGTTTGGGGATAGTGTAAAATCTATAGGTAATTCTTTCACAATCCCTACTAATATTATAAATGTGAAAGTAAATCTGTCTGTCTGTTACGCTCTCACGCCTAAACCACTGAACTGATTTTAATTAAATTTGGTACAGTGATAGAGTTGACCTTGAGAAAGAACATAGGATAGTTTTTATCGAAGACTTTTGAAAAGTTCTCTTGAAAACGCGATATAAACGAACTCCACGCGGGCGAAGCTGTGGGCGGAAAGCTAGTTAGTAATAAATTAAACACTAAATAATTACTATTTGTGAAAAGAATACCTTAAAAGTCGCTAATATGGAAAATATTTCAGCTCAAACTTTCTTCTGATAATCTGCTTCCAATGTGGATACGTGAATTTGCGCTATCCCCGACCATATGAAACAAATTACACATATGAAGTACTAGCTAGTAATGTTTCAAAAGCATCAGTTGTATGTACAAGATACATTGAAATCAAACAAAATGTCTCTACTGAACAATTGTCATTTTCACATTTGCCCTTATACATATGAGACATCGATATATGAAGTATCATTCATGTACTATATTAGAATTTAAACCAATACTAGACTAGACTTAGTTTTATGAAGAATCTTAGACCAAAACCTAAACTAAGACTTTACAATGATCAGACTTAGATCAAAACCGGATCAATCTTAATAATTCTATATACTACTATAGTAATTTCACCATTATGTGTTTAATATATCTCAATATGTATCCGATAATGTGATAATTGAATTAAAATATTAAATTTATTTATAACCACATCCACAATATGAGTAAATTAAATCAATTTATTAATAATAATCTTCTTCCTGGCAATTTCCCAGCTTTAGCCAGGGTCTGCCTCACATGTTGTGAATAGTTTTGACTAATTGTTTTTACGACCGGACGCCTGCTTGACATCAACCCTCTTTGGGAATGCATTAATCAGTGGTGTCTAAATACTCTTATAAAGTACATATGACTCGGAAAAATCACATTGGTACTAGCCAGGATCGAACCCGCGTCCTCATGCATGAGAGGCGGGCCTTTTAACTACTAAGCCACCACTGACTAAATAATAATCTTATATATCATTAATTTTAATATATTTAATAGTTATATGAATGTTTTCAGCGTATTCGTCTCGGTCAATATGATTTCCCCGAGCCGGAGTGGTCAAATGTATCGGCTGAAGCTAAAAATCTCATTAAGGGCATGCTGTCTGTGGATCCCACCAAGAGATTGTCCATACAACAGGTATAATTATTAACATATGTATATAATAGAAAGTCGTATTAGTTACACTATTTATGACTCAAGAACGGCTGTACGGATATGGATGAAAATTGATGGAGAGATAGATTAGAACAAGGAGACGGATATATTATATTAAATTATGTTTGATAGAAAAAGAAAAATTCAGGTCAGCTATACATATATGATATTTTTCAAAGAGAAATTGATAATGTGTATTTAATCTTTATATATATAATTCTTCTGTGAGTGTTTATGTCACTGAACTTCTCTCAAACGACTGGACCGATTTTGACGAAAATTTTTGTGTGTGTTCAACAGGATCTGGGAATAGTTTAGATTCACAATTTTGTCAGCTGGACAATGTTTTTTTAATTTATTTTTAATTTATTAGTAGTTGTTGATACAAACGTTTTTTTTTACATTAGATTTGACAACTAACTAATATGTCAATCATTCTGTCGCACTTCAAAACACAGAGATTTATGGCTTTAATAAGTAAATTCCAAAAATATAAATAAAAAACGTAACAGATATTTCTTGATTATAGGGCGATACGAAGTTCGCCGGGTCTTCTAGTCTATGCATAATACCAATGTACATATTTAGAATATATAAATTTTCAATTATTTTATAATTTTGTTTGTACGCTTCCTCTACTAAAAGGCTTTCTAGTTGAGATCTCTATTAAGAGATAACATATCCTTTATGCATACATTTCTTTTATAATATTGTAACTGTATTTATATTTGCTATATAAATAAAATATTAATTTTTATTTCCAGGTTATGTCAAGTCCATGGATTCGTCAATTCACTCAAGTACCACAGACGCCGCTATACACACATACACTATTACGAGAATCTGGCGACGCCTGGGCGGATGTTAGAGACGAAATGACGAGATCTTTAGCCACTATGAGGGTAGATTACGATCAGGTAATATTAAACTTACCACAAGTATGAGAAATACGAAATACTTACAGTTTGAAAGTATCATTTCAATAATGAGATCTAAGATTTTCGCGAGTACTCATTTAAATGAAACTAATATTTGTGAGACACTCACATTTCGTACCCGTGATCACGGTTGCTGTAAAGTATCCGAAACGTCGGGAGTATGTAGTTTATAGTCAAAAATAAAAAACGCGTAGTAAATCCGAATATTAGTTTCATTTAAACATCATTTGAATCAGTTAGCAAAGACTAAGTGTTAAAAGTAATGAGAGGATATAAAAAAGTTTCTTAATAATTCTGTTATAACGAGCGCGATATAATTAGCTTTTATATAATAATATATATTTTAATTTTCAGGTTCAAATAAAAGCTCTAGAACAAAGTAATAATTCTCTTTTGAACAAGCGCAGAAACAAAGTAGGGGCTTGAAGCATAACTAGCGACATATAGTGCCAATGTATGTGAATCAAAAATAACATCTTATATACGTATATATGGAAAATTATGTATTTTTGTTGCTTAGAAAGATACTAAAGTAGATATATAAGCTGTTCAAAAAAATATATTTTCATTTAATTATTTACTTAATTAGGCTTATTGTATATCGGAATTGTATTTTTTAGATATATAGAAAAAAAAATCTGAGCTTGAACAGAAAATATATATAGGAAAATTATATCTTATATATAAAGATTGCCATCACAATACTTTTTCCTTTGACTTTAGATTTTTGTTTCTATTATTCTTTAATAATTCAGTACAAAAAAATCACAAATAACTAACAAAATATAGCTGATTTTGATTTAACAATGTATTTATTAGGTTTATAATTTAGATATAGATTTTCATTTATATATTTACATATATAATCACAATTTTTTGTGATTCAATGTATTAATATGCTTCAATATCGTGTTACTTATGATGTAGGTTAAAAATAAGCGTCATGGCTGAATTGCCGTCCATTGAAAGTATTTACAAAATATACAAAATTATTAATTTATTATAAAAAACTGTCACAAATATTGTTACTGACTTAACATAATTCTGACTAAAACGCCTGACTATAGATTTTGTTAGTCAAAATTATTCTCATATGTTTTCACTTCATATTTGATTAGAGCTAGTTTTAGTGTATTTATAATTTACTTTAACTATGAAAAAAAAAAAATATTTTATGTATCGAAAAAGAGTGAAATAAAAATCATACAAAGTTATATATATTTTATTTTTTTAAATATATCCATATGTATGTATATTAAATAAAAAACATTGCCTTAACTTATCATTACTAAAATAACGATTTAGGGTATAATTGTATTAAAAAGTATATTTATCAAAAATAACATTAATATTCCTATAGAATAATGTATTAAACGGAGAGCTCTGTAAAAAAATCAAAGAATGAAAAAAGAGAATCAAAATATACATCATTTTCATAAATTTTGTCATAACTTAACTCACAAATGAATATATAATATTACTACGTTAAGTATTACGACCTTTAAAGTATCATAATTTTGTACTTATAGGACTAAAATATATGTTGTAATGAAATACTTAAAAAATAAAGAAATATGAAAATTCAACATGATTAACAAGAAATAATATTTTTGGAGTGGTTCCAAATTTTGGCTGTGATTAAAATAATATATAATTGAAGGCACGTATTTTGTCAAGATTTTTGCAAAGTAGGGATAAGTATGCCATGTATAGTTAGTGCAACAAAAAGTGGTCACTTGATCAATAAATATTTTTAATATGCTTATCATTCTTCGCAGTAACAAAAACAATGTGTCCAATTTAAATGATCTCAAGTGTACTCGACAGCATCATACCTATGACACCTAAAACTCGTATTAAGCGCATCTATTGTCTCGTGTCAAATTACGTGGCAGCAATTATACTTTAAAACATCCTGAATTCAATATTTATTCAAACACAAAAAATATCTTCTGACATAGTAGAAACATAATAAATAATTATCAAAAACTTAAAAAAATTATAACAAATGTATGTACTTATAAAATATCATATGTATATAAGCTTTTTGTACTTCGTAAAAACCAATTAACGTCACTTTTTAGCGACAACTTTTAAAGCGTCGAAATCCATTATTGAACTTGGTTTGTTTAGCTTGTCTACTATACAAAGACACAAATAGCATTATACTCACTCATTAAAGACAACCATTGACTTATGAATAACTGCTGTTAGTTGCTTAAAGTAATAAAAACGAAAACAGAAAAAATTGTACATTCTTTTGTCAATTTATCCTAGTGTGCAAAAACTCCAATGGCATATTCATAGCGAAGTTTATAAGAAATTTACATTATTTTTGACCATGGCTAAAAAGTAGGAATTATGAATTATTATCATTATGCTAAGTTGTTCTTAAACTTTGAAACCGTATACATAGAAAAAGAAAATCATTGTATTAACGAAGAAGGTTTACTGGCAATTGAATTGAAATTGGAGAGAAGACACTCACATACAGATATTTTAAATTCAGTGAAAAAACTGAGGATCAAAAACAATTAGTTGAATAATGAGCTCGAGCATTAAAAACAGCTCTTGAAGAGACAAAATTATTTTAAAATTACTTCCTTTGATACCAAATTGCTTAAATATCACAAGATATGAATAAAGTAAGTAAAAAAATACAAAACAAATTTTGTGCAAAAAAAGACGTGAGATATATAATAAGAGAGGATGGCAATAGCGTTCAGATGAGACCTCTTTAAGAACATAACTATTAACTACATTAGCCTTAAATAAACTGTTTTTAAAATTCTCATTATAATTTAACGACAACTATAACGCCATAAAAATTTATATGTAACAGCAAAACTAATACAAAATCCTTTTATACAATAAATATATATCAGATCAATGCCATTCAAAAACACAGTGACATATCAAAAGGTATACAGAAGATATACACAGATGTCCTATCATGACTGGAAATCCTATTTTGAAGAACTGCATGAATGTGAATCTATATCCGTGTTGTTCAGCGACGCCCGCGCATACCACGTTGGCACTGGCGCCGATTAATGTACCGTTACCTGGAAGATTATTATAGGAAAAATATTATAAAAACTATTAAATGAGGTTTAATTTTGAAACTTCTGGATTTTTTTGGTGGCAAACGAACAACAACGAACGGCAATAGTCACCGTTGCCAATGGACATATGCAAAATGTCTTATGTTGCGATTGCGTTGTAAACTTGGTGATTGAGGAAGAGGGAAAGGGTGGGAAAAGGCAACCGTCTCTCTCACTCATCGGACGAAACGCATCCATTAAAGACTACTTCACGCCGATCTTCTGTGAGAGGGTGGTACTTTCCCGGTCGAGACAGAACATGTTCGAGCTGTAATGAATTGACCACAGCTAGGCTCTACCACAAAATAAATTTAGGTAATTGAAAATATATGGTAGATTTAGTTTGGTTTCATCACAAAATTTTGTCGTGGGCTACTTGTGACTATACTATACGGTGGTTTAATTTCTTAAATAGTCACATTTCCTTGCGACGAAATTTTTATAATTGCAAAATATTCATAGCATAAAAAAATTATTACGTACTTGTCAAAAGTGTCATCTCACAATATCAGAAGTCAAAGAAATCTATATACATTCATCTACTTGTTAAGTCTATCAAAATAAAAACAAGTAACAATTTTCTTTTGTGCTAAGTCATTATAACTTAGTATAGTATAATATATATAAATCTTATATTTACCACCAAGACAGGCTCCAAAGAGTAAAGCCCAAATAAGCGGTCCCATAGGTAGGTTCAATGCGGGGTTATTTCCGATAGAGACAACAACTCGCACCATCATTGTTGTAAGAGGAATGTTGTCCACGAATGCTGATATAGCGCCTGAAGCCTGAAAATTCAATACAATCGTATTTTAATTTAATACATCATATATTATTTTTAAAAAGTGAATTCTGATCTTGTTTCGAGGTATATTTTTTTACAAAATTATTTTCGAAAAAACGGTAATCCAGTCAATATAATGAAAAAAAATAATAATATTTGCAATACAAAGGAATTGTTTGTTATACAAAGAGTATCTTTCATGTATTTGTATACTAAAGTATTATTAATATAAATATCAACCTACCCATAATATGAGCATCAAAGACGCAGCCATTCTATACTTTTCATCCACTTTGAATATGAGTTGCTCCAATAGTCCTCCAATGAATGAGATGAGACCTAATTTTGATAGCGCCTGGAAATTAGATAAACACTTATAATTATAAATATAAGTACATAATATCATAATATTTGGTTACCGAGCTTGGCTCCGTATTTAGTAATTATTAGTATTTATTTTGGGATTTTATTTGCTTAGGCATTTTTAAGTAAACACGTTAAGAAGACAAAACAATAACCTCTAAACAAACACTCATTGATTTTCTGTTACTTAACAACGCCATCTGCTGTTGTGTTAAAGCAATTAGTAAAACTATTAGTAAAAAGTAGTATTACTATTCACCAATAGATGTCAGGAAGAGTCATATTTTAAACGACTCCTTTTTGTTATTAAAATCCATTTAAATATATCAGATATATAATATTATGTATATAATCAAAGTTAGAGGTTTTTTAGTGAGATAAAGACGTATTATTATTATATATAGTCCTTGTGTTTAGTGACAGTAAGGCAATTCTTGATAAACATTGTTCTTAAAAAGTTGATTTTATTTAACTTTTAAGTGACTTAACAAATAATACATAAAACTAATATTTTCACATTACTACGCGTTACTTTATAGCTTATCCATCTCGTAATGATCACGGTTGCAAAGTAAACGTCAGCAATATATCAAAATAATAAAAAACGCATAGTAATACGAAAACATTAGTATTATTTAAATGAATTCTTAGATTATTTACCTCCATAAGAACGAAAAGTGCAGCAAAAAATAATAACGTAGACCATTCCACTCTGTGAAGTATTGGTTCTAAATCGGATTTATCAGCGAGGGTTAGGAGTAAGATAGCTCCTAACAAAGCAGTCATGCCCAGAGATACGCGATCTGGTAGAAAAAATTATATTTATATGAAAAAACAATAAAAAATAATAAAAATAAAGCAATGTTTAACTATATTTAGGTATTTTAATGAATAATTATCAATAATTAAAATATAAGTTTTACTTTATCAATTATACCTTGTTTGTTTATAACTAAACCTTTTGATTTTGGACTCCATTTTTAATATTTTGGAAATTTTTCCAGTTTTATTATTGTTAAAATACGAAAGTTAAGTATGTACATCCAAATCTGTACAGTAAGTAACTTATGTATAGGTAAATAATTTTTTTTCTCAAATTATTAATAAAATACGCATAGATATTCTAAAAAAATAATTTCATTTAAATGAATCCTAGCGAAATTCTTATATCTTTAGTAGCTTTCCGTCCGCAGCTTCGCCCGCGTGGAGCTCGATCATAACGCGTTTCCAAGAGAACCTTTCAAAAGTCTGAGATAAAAACTATCCTATGTTCTTTCTCACGGTCAACTCTATCTCTGTACCAAATTTCATTAAAATCAGTTCAGTGGTTTAGGCGTGAAAGCGTAACAGACAGACAGGCAGAGTTACCTTCGCATTTATAATATTAGTAGGGATGTATATGTAGTAATAAGATTATACTTACTGAGTTCTGGTATGGAGTGCAAGAAAAACACAATTACTACGAAAGCTATTGCCACTGACGATTTGATTAAGAGACTTCTATCACGTATTTTGTACTGAAAATAATAAAATTCTTACTTTAGTATGCTTAATAATAGTTACGATGATACTCATTACAGATAGTTAACAGTTTTTTGATTGATAAACTTGAAATTAATGTTTATTTTGACTTTTGGAAGACATGACTTAACGTCTTTTTAATACTGGCATGACTTATACTAAAACTTATCATTAGTCATTTTATTGACTTATTCAAAATCATGTTTAATATTAAAATAGAAAATTCTCATCTTGATTACTTAAATTCTATGTGAAAAATAATACAACAGATACTTTATTTTTCACCAGCATTATAGTAGCCCACTGCTGAGCAAAGGCCTCTGTCTCACATAGAGATGATTAGAGCATTAATCACCACGCTTGCTCAAGATGGGTTGGTGACTTCAAACTTATAGTTGTAAATTTTAAGTCCATATTTAATCACGATATTTTCCTTCATCTGTCAGTGATGTCTAAATACTCTTAAAGTACATATGACTCGGAATCACATTGGTACTTGCCAGGATCGAACCTGCGCCTTATGAGCTTTTAACATCTAAGCCACTACGACTTTTATTTAGCAATGACAATAAATAAGATATTGTTATATTCTAGAACCTTCTACTTATATCAAACTTTTTACCTTAGCTTTTAATTCTTCCAAAGTGTTCACAAAAGTTTCCTTAGAACACGCACGTTTGCTGCTATCTTTCAAACATTTGTTTAAATTTTCCGTCAATTTCTTTATTTTCCTCTCAAGTCTGTTTCGTACAGCGTTAACACCGTCGCTTGAGTGCGGCAAGGAATCGGCCGCGCGACGCCAAATGGATATTTGGTGACGAAGATCTTTAAATAAACATTAATATACATATATATATGTCTTCTTATACCTGGCAATTTCCAAGCTTTAGCCAGAGTCTGCCTTAAATGTTGTGAATAGTTTTGGCTAATTGTTTTTTGTTTTTAACGACCGGCCGCCTGCCTGACATCAACCCTCTTTGGGAATATTAATATATATATATGTGTGTGTTTGTTTTGAATTATATCGAGTTTTAAATTCTGTTTAATTTCGTCTAAATCAATTTCAATAGGTTAAATATATTTAATTATTTTATAAATAACTGTTAACTTAAATACATTAATGATTATTCAAATGAAATACAAACATTCATAGATTAAAGTTTAGAAACTTTATTAATATTACCTCGTATTTCCTTAGGTACTCTTATCCTAAGTTTATTTGTGTCTCTGAACATATATTTCACTTGTAGTGACGTTTGTATGAAAACCATTAAAATACCCAAAGACATATGGGCTGTGAAATTCGTGAAATTTATGCCCTGAAAAAAAGATTAAAATTCTTTAAAATTGATAAAGAAATAACATTATTTATTATATCTAAATAATTACAAAAGGTTTGTATATAACATACTTTAAATTGATAATTCAACTTTCATGTACTTTCTGTAAATCATTCATAAGGTTATTTAGAAACTTTATATTTATATATATAATTCTTTTGTGAGTGTGTATGTCACTGAACTTCTCTCAAACGACTAGACCGATTTTGACGAAATTTTTTGTGTGTGTTCAAGGGGATCTGGGAATGGTTTAGACTCATAATTATGTCTGGTGGACAATGTTTTTTTAATTAATTTTTAATTTATTAGTAGTTGTTGATACAAACTTTTTTTTGACATTAGATTTGACAACTAACTAATATGTCAATCATTCTGTCGCACTTCAAAACACGGAGATTTATGTCTTTAATAGGTAAATTCCAAAAATATAAATACAAAAAACGTAACAAATATTTCTTGAATATAGAGCGATACGAAGTTCGGCGGGTCTTCTAGTATTTATATATACTACAAACCAGTGGCGGCCGGTGGGTAATCGAACCGGTGGTGCACTTTACTAAAATATTAAAATTAGAAAATGCAACAAAACAATATAACGAGATGTCAATCATGGCTCAATTCGTCATACATCGGGTGCTCTCGGTAATCTTCGGCCGCTCGTGCGGCGCTCAAGAACCGACTCATTACTCGGTACATTTCTATGAACTATCTTTTGTTTCACGCGTCAGGCGTATTAATGCGTATCTCATACAAGATGTATTGGCAGTCCTCGTGCACTCGCCGAAGCGCATGAGATATTAGTTTAGTAAAGCGTTCAAACTTTTTAACTATAATTAGAAATTTAATTTTTTATACGTTTTTGTATGTTTAGAAAATAAATATTAAAATATAATTTAAAAATAAAGATGAAGTAATATTTTTACTTTTTAAAATCTTTTGAATTGGTGGTGCAGCGCACGAGTGCACTTAAGGTACAGCCGCCACTGCTACAAACTAATAATTACATTCTATTTTCATGATTATCGTCATTATACCAATGCTTACTACCTATATACCAATACTTACCGCGTGTACAACATCTTTATTAGATGCCACAATAACATTCGGCGGATCTCCCACGGGAGTCGCCGTGCCTCCAATATTACTATATATAGCCATCAACATTAATATAGGAACCGGATCTAGATCCATAACTTCACATAATCTAGAATTATTATATTTTTGGTTAAAAAGAAATATATAAATATATATCTATGAAAGCTTAAGTAATTACATAAAAATAAAAGGTAGAATTATAATGTTTTTGGTTGAGAAGAAATATATCTATGAAAGCTTAAGTATTTATTAAATAATTACATAAAAATAATAGGACTCTTGTTTATACTAACATATGTATATTGAATGTATATGAATAAAATATATAAAGAATATAGATATTTTTATAACGAGTTCGGTTAAATCGCGTTTCCAAGAGAACCTTTCAAAAGTCTGAGATAAAAACTATCCTATGTTCTTTCTCAAGGTCAACTCTATGTCTGTACCAAATTTTATTAAAATCAGTTCAGTGGTTTAGGCGTGAAAACGCAACAGACAGACAGACAGAGTTACTTTCGCATTTATAATATTAGTAGGGATAATAATAAAATAAATTATTTCAATGGGTCAGAGTGTGTAATAAAAGTATATAATATTATTTAAGCAAAAAAAATATTAAGTGCATTTCTTAATAATTCAAATACCTGATAGTGACTGGAGAAATAAGTAGAATAGTTGTGACATTATCTAAAAACGTGGAGAAGACAGCCGTTATGATGCACAGGAGATAGATCAAAGGCCAGAGGTTGCCCTTCGTCATCTAGAACATACACAGACTGAAATAATATTATATATATACTAGTAAATATACTATTACGAGCTCACAAATAATAGGTTCGTTGTAAATTTACACGTGATAGAAGTAGGAGCGAGAGATATAACAGCTAAATCTGTTTACAACCTAATTTTTCCAGTGTCTTGGAATGCTTATGTAAAAAAAGCTATATTTTTGATATTGAAAGCATTTAGATTCTCTTATTCAAACTTCAGTCTTTTACTAGGATTATATACAATGAAAATGTGAATATATTGATGTTTTTTTTTAAATATAGATTACGTAAAGCTTAAAATTAAAAATTAAAATTTAAAAAAAATGCAAAAAGACATTAACGGTTGAAGAATTACTAAATGCTAAACATTTCTATAAACCAAACGAAATTGAAAATAAATTATATTAAATATGTGAGTTTACACATGTGAAATTTAAATTAAACTAACATTTTCAGATCACTATGCATTATTTTATCATTTTAAACTACATACTATTTACGTGTCCTTTACTTTGCAGCAACTTAATCACGAATTAAAAAAATTTAAAATAATAAAATAAATCATATCAATCCAAAAATATAAAATACATATGAAATGTCAATATAAATTAAAATTTAAGCAAAATACCTCAAAAGTAAAAACCGCCAAATAATCAAATAGTCCAGTTTCTGCGATAATAGCTACTAGTATCATCATGCTGAAGAGTAGTAATAATGTTTCCACATCGAGCCAGGAGATCAGCTCGGTAAGGGAAGGACGCTCACCAACTAATGCTAGGATCGCTAATGAACTGGTAGATATTGTTATAGCTGCTACTGTTCTATTGATAACCTGTAAATATATATATATAATGAGTCTAAGAATTAATAATAAGAAAAGTCAGTGGTGGCCTAGTGGTTAAAAGGTCCGCCTCTCGTGCTCGAGGGCGCGGGTTCGATCCTGGCAAGTACCAATGTGATTTTTCCGAGTCATATGTACTTTGAGAGTATTTAGACATCACTGATTAATGTTGTTTCCCAAAAGAGGGTTGATGTAAGCAGGCGGAAGGTCGTAAAACAATTGGCCAAAACTATTCACAACATGTAAGGCAAAACCTGGCTAAAGCTGGGAAATTGCCAGGAGGAAGAATGTATATTAGTAATATCCATTTTATTTCAAGGTGCTAGGTAAGGAGAAATACGATAAGTTATGTGATATCTGGTCTCTGGGCGTTGTAATATGCGACTGGGTAATCAGAACGTTTTTTATCTATATGTAAAAAATCTGCAGAACAAAATTTGGCAAACCAATTTTGATACTGCCTTTCTTTTAATTGTTCATTATCATAATCAGCACATAACTTTTTAGGAGCTTGTGACTCTTTTTTAATGATTGGTAGCTGAATTTCAAAATCTCAAATAACAAAATGTATTTTATATTTCTATTACGTCTGCAAATCTAAATAATCAAACAAAGCCGTCCATGTGTGAAATTCGCGATTACTTAGTTGCCAACCCAATATATTCTACTGTGTGAATTCCTACACTAACACATTCCCACGAAATCGGATCAATCTCATCAATTGTATAGAGTGCAGAAAACTAAAAATCAATATGATCAATAGCAGTTAGCGCCATCTATATTAGCGTAGCTTAACTAAAAAAAGATGTAAATGATATGTCGTTTACAAGTACATGTATGTACCTAATTCAGCAATACGTAAAATACTAATCGGCTAATATATTTCAACTTAACACACAATAAAATCATAATAAATATCGAAAATTTAAATTACCTCAAAAATAATCAGTATATAAAGACCACATAGCAATACAAAGGCATATATCACCGCAGTACTATCCAATTTATTTTCTTTATACGACATTTTGAAAGGCAATAGATTTGCATCGGTTCTCATATGGATAGAACAATTTGATTTCAAATCAAATACTCTGGATCTGAGCTCGCCTTTGTTTAAATCCGTTTTGTTTTCCAGAACAATACGCCATGGTCTGGATTCCTGGAAAATGGAATAATAACTATAATAAAATGGATTGGTTTTGTTATTCCTGGAAAATGGAATGGAATATTTAATATATGTTTAAAAATAATAATAAAAAGGAATTAGTTTTGTATTATGATTAATATCTGTTAGAAATTGGAACATGTAATATTTTTTGATAATGTATTTAAGTAACAGCTTTTTGCTATTGTAACAATTTTTGGTTAAAGAGAAATTAAGTTTAGTTTTATATGTAATTCCAAAATGGAATAATGGATATTAATTAGGCACCTGGTTTAAGAGTACAGGAAATGATATAGAAATATAAGTAATAATTAATTATCAAGAATATAGTACCTAATTGAAGAGATAATTATTAATTATAAATAAAAATTAAAATGTAAAAGAAATAATTTGAAACTATATTTTTCATATTACAGTTTCAGTATTGATTTTTAATATTCAACATTACTTATAGTAATATTACAAAATGACTGAAGCCAGTATTTATATTTAATATTTATCAAATACAGGTACTTAAATGTTGCATACAAAATAACAATGGTTCAGTGATTAATTATAATCACTCATAAAAATAATTGTAAGGATTATAGTATACTAGCTTTCCGCCCGCAGCGCCGCCCGCGTGGAGTTCGATTATATCGCGTTTCCAAGAGAACCTTTCAAAAGTCTGTGATAAAAACTATCCTATGTTCTTTCTCAAGCTCAACTCTATGTCTGTACCAAATTTCATTAAAATCAGTTCAGTGGTTTAGGCGTGAAAGCGTAACAGACAGACAGACAGTTACTTTCGCATTTATAATATTAGTAGGGATTATACTTAGTAATAGGTGGCGCCACTTGTAAGAATATATTTTATATACCTCAATTAATCCTTCTTCATCACATATTATCCAAATCATGAGGTTTGATGTCTCGTTGGAATAATTCCTCATTTCCTCTTGTTCAGAGAAGAATGGACCTGATAATTTTATTTGTATTCTCTCACTGGAAACTTCTATAGGATAATCTGGAATAATATAAATAAATGATAATATAAATAATTCGTCTGTCCGTATATAAAATAGTATCTTTTAAGGGAAATTTTACTTATTAGTAAAAACTATAAAGCTTTTAAAATTTAAATAAATTTGAATTAATATTATTCTGGTAGCATTCTTGTAATGGCTATATCTATTTCAGTGAAACTGTATCTGGTTAGCAGAATAGTTTAAAAGATTTAACAAGAATCTAGGTAGAAAAATAATAAAAAATCGCTTGGGATAGCTGGCATAAAATATTTTTATAGCAATTTAATGTAGTATAAATTTTATTTTATAATTTTCTAAAAAATATGAAATCACTCTTATTATTATTATGCAAAGCTTAAAAGTAAATCAAATAAATTATTTACAACTGAACATATTCTAAAACAAAAGTCTGCTTTAAATATATAAATTCCAATACAACAAAACAATTTCACGAATTCAAAATCCTAAACCAATTTTGATACTGAGATCTAAGACTTTCCCGAGTATTTATTTAAATGAAACTAATGTTTTTCGGATATACTATTTGTACTTTATTATTTTAAACTACATACTCCAGACGTTTCGGTTACTTTTCAGCAACCGTGATCATGCAGACGAGACGACTCATCTCTTTCTCACGTCAGTAGTATGTAGTTTTTTACAAATATAAACCACGCGTATTAAATCCGAAAAATATTAGTTTCATTTAAACGATTTTGACAAATTACTTTCATTATATCGAATGTGGTTACTCACATTTATCTTCTCCTCCTACGATCGCTGTGTTTTTAAATACTTCAACATTTTCATTACACGTCAGAAATATGAAAGTGAAAAATACCCAGCATCCGACTAACATTGTCATTTTTATGTAATATTTAGCTTTTTTGATCTAAAAACAGAAATATATCATAACAATTGACAAAAAAATAATTGTCTTATTGGTTTTACATACCCTTGACGAATTGCTTTTATTTTCTCTCTCGTTTGTACTGAAAAATATAAAAGGGTGTAAAATTAGAACATACATATTTGCATGACGCTACATATCTAGCAGATACCGTTTTTCATTCAATGCGTTAATACAATGTGAGAAGACTTGTGAATGAAAAACCGTTAGGGCTCCATATTTAATCTTTTAAAAAGATATTACATCTGGCTAAGGGTAATATAAACATACATTACTACAGGAGCTACATAACTTTCTACGTCCACGTCGTTAGCTTTAGGTCACGCTAAAGGAAAGATGGAATATAGAATTCTTAATACACGTTCAGTGTTCAAATTGGTTCAGAAAAAATTAAAACTCGATTTTGATTTCTTCAAGTGGGCGCCAAAATATCTTGCCCGGGGTGTCAGACCCTCTAACGCAGGCAGTGAATATAAAAATATCCTTTATTAACATAGCATTCACATAATGAATCAATAAATTACATCAGAATAACTTCAACAAGTACTAAGAAACAACAAATTTCATACTTAGATCCTTAAAGATTGCAAAATAACACACACATACATATTAGGTACCTATAATACATTTTTTATAAATTCTTAAAATAATAGAATTCATCTATCACAAACTTACTTATCTTTATAATTGTTTTTCGAAACCGATTCTTCTTGATCTTCCTCATTACTTCCATCTTCTTGAATAATTTCCACTGACGCATGATTCAGATGTTTCGTTCTCAGAAGCTCCTGGTTTTCATCCGAAACATCTGTTTATGTTAAATTATTAAAATAATATTTTCACGTTTATTTAACACAATAAAAATATACACACAATTACATAAAAGGGGAAAATTAGGCAAATAACAAACAAATGCGAATCAATTTTTCTCCGTGAGCGCGCGAATAGTCTACAAAACGCATAACCGTTTCTTTTCGTGTCCTATTTCGCACTGGAGAAAGGGGTTTAACTGCGGGGGGTACGCGACGCTCGCGCAATGGCCTTGAAATTTGAATATTGTTAAGGCGCATTAATAATAATTGTTTATAGATATTAATTTAAAAAATCCATAAAAATGTCAATGAAAATAGCATGAGCAATGAATATTTATATAAAAAGTAATCATTACTAAATAAATATAATTATTGTTAACCTAAGATGGTACTGATTTTGTTTAAAGAATTTTTAAACGATCTTTCACACGAGTATGAAAATAGCGTAATTTCAAATGAACACCTTTGCATTTTTTTTATCTTAATTAATTTATTAATTCATTGCAATTAGTTAAAAAACTATTATATTTACTTTAAAAATATCAAATATTTCGTCGTACTTAAGGTATTAGAATTATTACTACGAGTTTCATCGTATTAACAGATGACAGAGAGTTTCAGCGTCTGTCATCAATATATTCCGGCCGCGTATAGTTTGCGTTTTTGACATATCTGTCAATTTGTAATGTCTAGTAGTTTACCAGAAATAAAGTTATTTATTACGTATATTAATTCAGTTAAATTTATATCTCGTAATTTTCGATAGAAATTATTTATTACAATTATATTAATATTACAAATTGAGTTATATCTCGTACGAAACAAAATATCAGGATAGCTCTGGGTATTTCAAGGATAAAGTACTTAATAAATCAATATTTAATATCCCATTTATATGTCTAAATTTGGTCTTTCATATATTTTTTGGTACAGCATTGACAAATAAGAAATATGTTAATCATAATATGTGAAACGTCACTTCCAAATATGGGGTACAAGATTTTCACATGTACAATCACATGACATCATACAAAGACTTGCTTAAGTACATAGTTGTGAATATTTATCAATTACTAGAAGACCTGGCGAACTTCGTATCGCCCTATAATCAAGAAATATCTATTACGTTTTTTTATTTATATTTTTGGAGTTTACCTGTAAGCCATAAATCTCCGTGTTTTGAAGTGCGGCAGAATGATTGACATATTAGTTAGTTGTCAAATCTAATGTCAAAAAAAAAACCGTTTGTATGGGAAATAGAAAAGGGCTGTTTTTATGGTTTTCCCAGTAATTAATCAATTTTTTCAGCTTTTATACCTTCCCTGAACCTGCACGAACATTTCAAGACTAAGATAAGATAAATCCGTTCAGCTATTCTCGAGTTTTAGCGAGACTAAGGAACAGCAATCCATTTTTATATATATATATATATATAGAAGAAAAGATAAAAGATATATAAGATTAAGGCTTTGAGATAATTATCATCTGTCTCAGGTTGTATTTGATTTCTTGAGGACCCTTCCATCAGATCGTGATTTTGTGATAATGAAACTATATCAGGTCAATGACCTTTCGATTTGTGTTGAAAATCGGTCCTTATTGAAGGAGTAAAAGTGTCGCAAACAAAGTTGAGTTAAGAACTTCGTACATAGTTTAAAACGTTAATTTTTTTCAATTGTTATGGCAATCTTTTATTACAGAGAATGTAGATATGTAAGTATTTCAAAATACTATAAATACTAAATTAATAATATTGTACTTTTATTTTTCAATGGCCTAAAGTAGAAAAAGAAGTAAAATACTAATTATGAGGGTTACAAATTAAAAATTTAGTAAAAAGAAATTTAGAAAACAAACGCCCGAAAATACTTTTTAATCTTTAAAAAAAACCGTACATAATATTATTAAATTTTGATATAAAAATATTAATCAGTGTAAAACATTTTATTTGCTTGTTTTTATGAAGAAGTGGATCGTTGTCTAACCAATATTATTATTAATATATTCCTTACATTTCCAAAATAAATCGTAGCAAAAATATTGCCTTCGAATATAATAATTAATATTCATAACAATGCTTTCAAAATCGGCTAAGTCGTTTCTATATGAACCTTAAATATATCAATTATCAACATCTCAATATAAAAGCTGTGAATTTGACATCTATATCAACAAATACTTAAAATTGATGCAAAAATTTTAGGCTGAATTCCTCTTTTATCATATACTAGCTTTCCGCCCGCAGCTTCACCCGAGTGGTGTTCGGTTATATCGCGTTTCCAAGAGAATCTTTCAAAAGTCTGGGATAAAAACTATCCTATGTTGTTTCTCAAGGTCAAATATATCTCTATACCAAATTTCATTAAAATCAGTTCAGTGGTTCAGGCGTGAAAGCGTAACAGACTGGCAGACAGAGTTACTTTCGCATTTATAATATTAGTAGGGATATAGAAAATCATAGATTTGTAATGTATATATTAACTTACCAATCTCCTCAACTTTTCTCCTAATTTGCTCTAAAGACGGGTCATTTTTCACCTCATCTGGTAACGCCAGCCAAGATTGAAGAGTATCTGGCGTTAGTTCCGGACATGAGACCAGGGAATATGTACTCCAATTTAATGCTTGGTTTTCATTCAAATCCCTTCTTTTTCCATTAAAAGCTCTCAGAATTTTCTCCATCTTAGTCGAACATTTCCAGCTTGCATACCTGTTCGAATTGAAATAGAATTTAATTTCCGTTGTTTCCAAATTGGATTATATTTTAGCTTTCGGAAAAGTGAATGATTATAAAAAATATATCGTTATATTTAAAATTACAGTGTGACCATTAAAAAATAAGTTTAAAGAACATACGGAGTTTTAAAGAATATAATAAATATATATCCCTACTAATATTATAAATGCGAAAGTAACTCTGTCTGTCTGTTACGCTTTCACGTCTAAACCACTGAACTGATTTTATTGACATTTGGTACAGAGATGGAGTTGACCTTGAGAAAGAACATAGGATAGTTTTTATCCCAGACTTTTGAAAGGTTCTCTTGGAAACGCGATATAACCGAACTCCAAGCGGACGAAGCTGCGGGTGGAAAGCTAGTTATTATAATATTTAGCACATACATACAAGTATGTGTTTACACGCAACATATATACAAATGACATATTATGTATCAAAATTTCAATGTAATCATTTAGAAGTATTAAGTACTAAGGAAATCCTTAATAATATAATCTTTCCCATATAACAATAAATTATAAATTTTAGTTTAATAACATTTTAAATTATAATTACAATTAAAAGTCTGAAAGGATTCACCTTGAAATAATTCGATTTAAAAAACCGTGCGAAATGTTTAAATTGTATTCTGTCAATGTAACTTGCACGTAAAAGACAGTCTTTGTACTGATCTTTCATATGATCTATTCTAATCATTTCAATGTATGCTTGTCATCATAATTCAGTCATAATGACTTCACTGAGACACAGCATATGTTTCTGATGACTTACATTGATGAAATGGTAAACACGATTTAAACTAAGATCTGTTATATATAGGTATATGTAATATTCTTTAATGAACACAGAAATTATATATTATTAATTATTTTTTAGTCAGTGGTGGCCTAGTGGTTAAAGGCCCGCCTCTCATGCATAAGGGCGCGGGTTCGATCTTGGCAAGTACCAATGTGATTTTTCCGAGTCATATGTATTTTCAAAGATTATTTAGAAACCACTGACAGACGGTGAAGGAAAATATCTTGAGGAAACCTTTTTTTTTTTTTCGGGGAGAAATCCTCTTACAGACTACCCACTGCCCTGGCTCGACAATGGGACTTGTGTGGTCATCAGGTGTGGACATCAGGCTCTGGGCGACCCCCAGAGCCTGATGTTGTTGGCCCTGGGAATACCCACTAAAACTCCCCGGCTTCTCTTCCTGCCCGTATTTGGGGGCGATTTGGGACCTGCTATGTTAGAAGAGGCAGCTCAGCAGTGGGCTCTGATAGGTTGATGACGACGACGACGAATACAGTAACAATGTAGAAGCAAGAAAAGGCGTTTTATTGCCTTAATTACGATTTACTGAATTGAATGAATATTTAATGAGTAAGGATAATAAAAAAAAATTGGAGTTAGTGGTGGCCTAGTGGTTAAAAAGCCCGCCTCTCATGTACGAGTAGCGTTGCCAGGTCGCCAAACCTAATAACCGGACAGACCAGCCTCTTTGAACGTTTGCATTATGTCCTGGGATAGCAAAGTAATACTGACAAATAGTTAGGATATCTGAAAAGCAATCTTGACTTATCATCGACAAAAGCCGGACAAGACGAACACCGTTTATTTTAGCCGGACATGCAATCAAAAAGCCTAACTATGTCCGGCTTTATCCGGACGCCTGGCAACGCTGTGTACGAGGGTGCGAGTACAATCCTGGTCCGGGATAGTACCAATGTGGTTTTTCCGAGTCATATGTACTTTCTAAGAGTATTTAGACATCACTGATTAATAATGATTCCCAAAGAGGGGTGATGTCAGGCAAGCGGCCGGTTGTAAAAACAAATAGCCAAAACTATTCATAACATGTAAGGCAGACCCTAGCTAAAGCTGGGAAATTGCCAGGTAGTAGAAGAAGATCAAGTTTGTCCTCCTAAATCTAGATTTAGCATAATGTTGCAATAATTTTGGTTGATTCGAAAAGAACTTGCTCTGTCATGATGCTAATCTAATCGAGTTATCACATGTAATAAACGAGAATACAATAAAAGGCAGGTTTAATTAAAACTTAACAATTTGTTGACTCTTCACTTTGACAAATATGATTCTATCGGCCGTTTTAATCTAAAAAAGATGTTAAAGATCTCATGTAACAGAAGAAAACATGAAGCGAAATAAAAATTAGATGTCATAAGACTACAGCTCGAACATAGGCTAGCTTGACCCGGGAAAGTTCAACCGTGTCACAAAAGATCGGCGTAAATTAGTCTTTAATAGCTGTATTTCGTCCGATGAGTGACAGAGACGGTCGCTCTTTCGTTTTCCCGGTATTTCCTCTCTCTCTCCTACAGGCTACAAGCAAGGTTGGCACTTGGCAACGCTTCCGAAACATCTCTTATGTGGCAGATATTGCCCATTAAGTAAGCCGTCTACTGGTTTTGCTACCTTTGATATAAAACAAATTTTTTTAGAGAAGATAGGTTACCAAGAAAAGGGGGGATTCCAAATAAAATGAGAAGCTGGGAGCCAATGGCGTTCGCAGAGATTTATGGTAGGCTAAGCAGAATGTTTGAAAAGTAAAATAACAATTTTCATCATTTCCTCCTCTAAAACATTGATAATAATGATATCTATCGCAAGTATTGATTTAAATTTTAAATGAAACTAATATTTCTATTATTTTTAGAGGGCAGACGAGGAGTCTGCCTTGAATCTTGATTACGGTTGCTGCAAAGTATCGAAACGTCGGGAGTATGTATAAGGCGGCCAACTGAATGCGGGACGTAACCTTTCGTAAATGGTTGGGGGGGGGTTAGGGATTGGGAATGTCATAAAAATCTTCGCAATTGCCCATATTAAATTTAAGTACTCTCTTACGCGTCATGAGTTCACAGAAAGAAAGAAAACGAGATTAGCACGGGCGCGATACGCTTGCGCTGTTATAGGTAATCTGTGTTCCTGCACTGTTGACCGTGGTATGGGTGTTGTGTAAGTGTGGTAGAAAAGTAGGGATGCGGGACATGCGGGACGCATACAACGTTTTGCGGGACTATTTTACGAATAATTTCAAAGCGGGATTTCGTCTAGCATTGCGGGATGGTCCCGCAGAATGCGGGACGGTTGGCCGCCTTAAGTATGTAGTTTTTAAACATAATAAAATACGCGATGCAATCAGATAATATTGATTTCATTTAAACATTGATAATATTATGTTACAGCAGTCCAATCAGAACGAACATCTATATACTTTATGAATCTCTTAACTATCTCTAAGTTACGAAAGTATCTTAAAACGATTACGATCTGTTCATCACAGCGTTATAAAAGTTATTTAAATAGAAATATCCAGTGGAGATTCAAACATTCTTATTATTATCATTTGAAAACAAACAAGGCAAAGAAAATAACTTATTTATGTGTACATAACCTGCTAACTAATTAAAACTATCATAATACTTTTTATTAAAACGAATAACATTACCTTTCTTTTAGTTCAATCTCAACTGGTCACACACCTTGACTTTACACATATTTTAATCTTATTATCAAACGACACTATTGAAAATCTACTCGTAACTAATTTCAATAAACACATATCACAAGCACTGAGTTCACAGCTATAATTTTCCATAATTCGTTAATAAATTAATCCACTGTTTACTAATTAAAACTGTTTAACTTGCGCTTACAAAGACAAATGAAATAACAATATTCGACAATAATAAAATGGCGAAAAAAATATATGAACAGTTTACTGACCAATCAGAGAGCCCCGTTTCGTTTGACAATTAACGGACTTTCTACGACATTTTAAACAATACAAAATAATCAGTGCTTCTCGAACACTATGCATGTGTTAGTTTTACACACACACATACAAATATATCCTGCATACATACACGAGATTTGTAGATCGTTCTTGAGCATTTTTGTATGGAAAATAATTTGTATTTCGTAATGTATGATTAAAAGTACGTAAGTAAGAATTAAACAATATAGGTTTAATTGTTATATGGGTAGGGTATGCGTGCTTATTTGCGTCTATGGTGTGCACGCCACTGCTGGGAGTGAAAGGATATACAGATAGTATGTTATTTGTCAGTAAAAGTTTATTTGGACATTGTTGACAATATTAGTTTCACTTATTCAAATATAAGTTTAAAGGCAGACCCTGGCTAAAGCTGGAAAATTGCCAGGAAGAAGAAGAAGAAACATAAGTCTAAAGATTTCTGCAATGATTATATTCCAAACAAAATTACAGTTTTTTTTTGATAGTTTGATGGACTTCACATTTTTCTTACATATACTTTAATACTATATTGTATGAAAAATTATGAATGAAAAAGTAGAAAATATCTGTGGCCTCCTACAGAAATATTTCCTTATACAGACGTAGGAAATAGAAAATAATTTGCATAGAAAATAGTTCTAAATTTCTCTATTAATATAAGTAATACCAACAAAAATGAATTTAGGGTGATAAAAGCAATTGTATTTTAAATACAATAAAAATTGTTACCATTAAATAAGTCAATAATTCTCCTACAGTTTAGGAATGAATTATAAAATTTTAAGCATACAATAAAAAGATAATTTCCACTCTCACCAATATAGATAAGATATATACTTTTTTCTTGAAGGATATAATTTTTTTCATATCTTGAGAAGATAACAGTTCATGGTACTAATGATGCTTAGTAATGGCTCAAATAAACGAATTTTGTAAGAAATTTATTTTTCATTTCTAAAAATATTAGCTTGGGCTTAAATAATTAAAGCATTTTATGTTTTTTTTTTAATAACTGGTAACAATATTTATCATCTGTCACAGGAATTCAATACGTTAAACCTTTACGCCGTAATCCCTCAGGTAGTTGATTTTGGCCACAATTTAGAGCGTATTCATTATTTTGTTTTTCAAGCTTCACTTGTTTTCAGTTTCGTCAAAACCAATTCAGCAATTTTT